ATAGGAAAGGGCATCTTACTGGTTCAATGTAGGACTCAGAGTGGAATCTGCTGTAGGGCCCCCCCGCCTTGTTGGGGAGCGGAGGCAAGGGCAGAGGAAGAGGATTAGGAAGCCTGAGCAGAGCGGCTCCCTGGACACTCCGTGTGTTCCGGGGGTCAGTGTGTGCACGAGCTCCATGCCTGTGTCCTGCCCCCCCGCAAGGCTGCGGTGGGCCTGGGAGGCAGCAGTGCCGGGCTGGAGGGCCGGGGCTAAGTTAATGAGGTATGGATTGACCCGACTGGGAGCTGATGAGCTCTGGCACTGGGCTTTGAGCAGCGCCTGCAGAATCCATACTAATCCCTTGATCCCATTAGGGGCTCTTGCGGATCTGTGGGACAAAGTCTGTGCCTCCCTCTTTGGGGCATTCAGGCTCCCGGGTATGAACAGCAGAAGCTTTCTTAGCCAGCCTGTCCTCGATCCACTCAGCAGATTGCCTGATGTGCTACGTCGGGTCGGGAGCACTGACCAGGGCCTGTGTGATGCTGGGCACCCCTCTGCCCGTACCACTGGGCCCTGCTCCCCCAGAGTCAGCGGCGTCTGCTCCCGGCCAGCTTGCTAACATCGTCATGGAATCGTATGCAAACTGCTGAAACAGTGTGTTGAAATAAGTTGTTTCTTTGAAAATTTCATAAGATGAATCTGGAAAAAAGTTCTCTGGATTAGGTGCAGATTGGCAGGGAAAAGTCGTAAGAATTCTAAAGGGTGCTGCACTCATCAGATTGCTCACCAGATGCCCTTCGGTTCTCAAATCACTCTAAAGAAATCAAAACTGGAGCTCGCAGGTGGTGCACTATGTGAGGCCAATGTCAGAAGGCCAGCGCTGACCTCCCTGGCCCTGCGTCGATAAGGGGCCGCCGCAGAGAGCCAGCCAGCAGTGGGGAGTTGGATTTTGGAAAAATTAGCGTGTACCGTGCAATCGTGGGGAGACATCATCTATTGAACAACTGGCTCTTCAAAAGTTACTTCAGTTGAAATGTGTGTCGTGTGTATGTATCATTTTGAAAGATTCTTCACCTTAATGGACTTTTTTGACTAATCAATTAACCACTGTTCCCAGTCTTACTGGGTAAAAAGGCTTTTATTATCCTCCAGAGAGGAGTGGCTTGGGTGGTTCCTGAGCTTGTTTGCAACCAATCTCTGTCACACACGTGCGCACACAATCTCAGACACATTTTGTGCTCAGCTCACATCACCTGCCTGGAGGGGGCTGTGTAAGCCCCTCCTCCCTCCGGGCTGGGAGAGCTTCATCTCCCCCATTGCTGGGAACCTAACACAGTGCCTCGCCCGCCACAAATGCTCGATTAATATTCGTGGACTGAAATTAAATAAGCCCCCTCTTCAGGGCCTTGGGCATTGATGAGGCTTTCGTTTGAACACCCGCAGGCTCAGCAGAAAGCCTGTCCGTGCGTTTAGAATCGGCCAGCCTTGAAGGAACCTCGCACATGCCTGGCTTTCCCAGGCCCGGCCACTCCAGCCGTGCTCCGCCCCAGCCTGGGCTGGTCAGAGCCTTCCGTCCGAGTCCCAGGCACCTGATCTCATTCACAGCCCATGACACCCTAAAACCCGCAGACAAATTCTTGCAGAGAGGTCTTCCCAGACAAGGCCAATCTCCATGGGCTTCTTGACCCCTAGTCACAGCTCCATCCCATGGGCAGTGTGGTGCTGGCGCTCTTGCCGTGCCTCTGGTCCTTGATGTCACCTGAGCCCCACTTCTCTCAGCTCGGACATTTCTTCATCCTCACAGAGCCCTGACTGTCTTAACCTCGAGCTGCTACAGTTGCAGAACTGAAATTCATTAGCGCTCTTCCAGCCTGACCTCCACACTTCAAAGATGAGGACCAGGACAAGGCCAGGCTGCAGCCCTTTGACCTCTGCACGCTGACCCGGCTTCTGCAACCCGTGCAGTGAACACTCTCCGTGGGGCTGCACACGTCCCACCTGCAGTGCAGCCTGTCTCTGTCCACCGGAGGCTCTGAGAGCACGGGGTGGGGGGCCTCCTCGTGTCCACATTGCTGCGGGAGAGATGCCAGAGACGGGGGTCAGTCACAGACCCGAGTGCCAAGTGTCAGGGCGGCAGTCGTGACCACAGCAGTCCTGGGCCCGGCTCATTCACAGCTGCACACACCGCTTCCTGTTTCACCGAGAAGCGCCCTTCCCACCCACCCTGTCTTCCTCCAGCACCCGGTTCTCCCCCACCCTTGCCCCCGGGTTCTTGTCTCCTGGGCTCCCGCAGGTGTGGCCAAGCCGCTCCCCAAGGCAGACGCAGGCTCTGGAGAGGCACCGACACTGGTCACGCTCGCAGCCCATCTCAGACTCAGCTGCAGATGGGGGTGTGTGCAGTCCCCCACCCGCCCCAGGCCCCCCAGGCCAGGCACCGTTTCCCACGCCCCGCACCCTGCTGGCCAGCTGGCTCCCCCCAGGGCTGGGGGCGCTCTGTGTTCTGCTTAATAACCGCCTGGTAATTAGCTCCTCGATTTTGCTACTATGCTTATAATAGCCTCCATTAAAGTTATGGGGTTTTCAAGCCATAATGGCTTCCAGAGTAATTAATGCACAACTGGGTTTATTGCTAAGTTTATTTTTAGAGCTTTTCTCCCTCTTTCCCCCTCCCTTTCCTCTCATGGATGTTTTGACCAAAAAGACTGGATGGGATCAGAACGCTCCCTATGGTGCCCTTGCTCCCGCGCCTCTGTCCTTCCGGTTTTCCTTCCTGCCCCTCCTTCCTGCTCCAGCCCCCAGGCAGGTGCTGGGACCCTGCAGTGGAGGCAGCTGTCGCAGAGGAGGGTGGCTCTGAAGTGGTGCCAGTCCAGGCCAGAGAAGGCATTTGGCCTGCGTGTGTCCCCTGGCCACCTGCACCTGGCCCAGGTTCTAGGGGTTGGGGGCCAGGGACCTCACATCCCACACTCCTGATGACAGTGTATGTGGCTTCGATTTCATTCTGGCTCCTCAGGCAAGTTCCTCACCCTCTCTGGCCTCGGTGAGTCGAGCTGTAAAACAGGGATCACGGTAGCGCCTGCTGCACAGGGGTGTTGTGAGCGCTGCACGGGGCAGGTATGTGACGTGTCCAGCACCGTCTTCGCATTGCGAGCGTTGCAGGACAGTTTGCTGTTAACCACAGCTCACGAGGACAAATGGGAGATGGGGCAGGTGCCCAGGGTGGGGCAGGACAAAGAGGTTGCCCAGCAGGAACGTGTTCAGCACGCGGGCTTGCCTGGGTGGACTGAGCTGGCATGGCGCTCGCCTTCTCTCCTGGGCTTTCTTCTTCCCAGAATTAGAACCTTCACCAAAGCCAGGGATCCAAGAAAGCTCCTGCAGGGGTCTCTGAGAACACAGAACTCTTCCCAGGCATTTCTGCAGCCCTGGCCAGGCCCAGCCTCCCCATCCTTCATCAGATGAGGTCTAAGATCACGCCATCCAAAACTCGGCCTTGATGCAGAGCCCTGTGCAGCTCTGTGGGTGGCCTGGGCGTGGGGGGACAGGGGCTAGATCTGGGGCATGTGGCATGAGGTCACTCCACTTCTCACGTGAGATCCAGCCGGCATCCTGGCGAGATATGCTAGGCTCTGTCACTTGCTGGACCAACGAGGAGGAGTTTGGAGGGGACACAGTACACACAGGGACAAAGTGAGGGCTCCCTCCTACATGTCCCCACCATTGGTCCCTGCCTGTGACATTAAACCCCAGTGGTGCTTCAATTCCCCAGAGAATGAGGGCAGGAGACTCTGGGCACAGAGTGGGCCTTCGGTGGTAAGGGCTGGGCTGGGGGATGCTGGCCACCCCAGGAGACCACGGTGCTCCTCAGTGGGCCTCCCCAGGGCATCAGAACCACCTGGAGATAGGACCCAACAAGGAGAGGAAAGCACGCTCTTTCCAAAACCGGGGGACAAAAGTCCTCCCCAGCCATGGCTCTGGACTCAGCCAGAGATGGCGAGCACAGGCTAGCTGGGGCTGGAGCAGGCAGCGAACGGGGCCTCCGAGGATGTGTCCCTCCACAGTGCTGGGCCCTGGGGGCCGTGGGCTCACCAAGGACTGGCCAGGCCTGTCCTCCGTCCCCTCTACCCCCAGCTGCATCTTGCACAGCACTCAGCACAGAGGTGAAAAGAAAGGAAAAGATGTGACAGTTTCCAAGGTGTTCTCTAGGTCTCTGCACCGATTGTCCTTGTCACATGACAGAACAGGTCCCCAAGGGGACACTGCCAGTGGATCCTCTTCAGGACTGAGAGGAAACTTCTCCCCCTTTTCAGCTGGGGGCGCTGCTTTCATTTTTGAGAGCCATCTCCCCAGGATGTGGTAGCCCCCACGGGGACCGCATCTCCTGCTTGCGGGGGCCTGGCCTGGCCCAGTCCCTGGTGCCCCATCCTACACAGAGCTGTGCTTCGGGAGAATCTCCTGTTGACACTGGGGAAGGAAGGCATTCACGGCGTTTCTTCCCCGGTCCCATCCTTCACACGTCTTCCCTCTGTCCTCAGAAAACCCCTGAATTCCTGCCCCTTTATCCAGGCTTTGAAGAAAACCATGTGGGTCCAAATATTTGGACAGCATACAGCTAACGTTTGAGGGCTTTGTGGGTGTTACCTCATTTAATTTAGAGACCAGCCTGTGAGCTAGGTAGGCACAGTACCCCATTTTATAGGTGAGAAAACCGAGGCACAGAGAGTTGATGTAACTGAGCAAAGGTCATAAAGCCTGTGGGTGGAAGAGTTGAAGCCACGTGTCTCCAAGGTCTGTGCCTTTGACCCCTCCACCCTACTGACCCTCATACATGGAGCTGTGCCATGTCCCTGTGCCCATGAGGACAGACACCATTCCACCCAGGAGGCAGACAGAAGAGGGCCTGGGGACGGACAGTTGAGGCTCTATTATGAAACCCCGATGCTGCACGTCCTAGAGCAGGGCCAGCCTGCTGGGCGTCCATCCCCACGCCCAGGTCTCTGGCTATCCTCTTCTGCTCTCTCTTGCAGGTGTCCACCTCCCAGGGTTCCTGACCCCGCCCCGGACAGCCACCCCTTCTCAGACTCCATTCGGGCCGGACTCTCCAAACCTGCTTCCGCAATGGGTGGGTTGTGAGCGCTGGTAAGACCTGCTAGCCAACATTCGGCTCCTCTGTTGTCTCCATGCCTGGCCAGCCCAGCCCATGCCTGTTCTTTTCTCCCCTGTGCTGCCACCGCCCCTGTGGCCACCCCTCTCCTGACCTTACCACCACTCAGGTAATGAGGAGCCGTGGGCGCAGCCAGCCTTGGAGATGCCGAAGAGACGGGACATCCTTGCGATCGTCCTCATCGTGCTGCCCTGGACGCTGCTCATCACCGTGTGGCACCAGAGCACCCTCGCACCCCTGCTCGCTGTGCACAAGGGTGAGCCACCCGTCCACCCCCAGCCGGGCTTCGGCAATGAGAGTGGCCACAGCTAACGTGCGGGGGTTCTTGTTCTTGCTCACTAAGCAGTGGGGAGGAACCATAGGGTCGCCAAGGCCGTGATCTTACCCTTTGTGGGGTCTCGGGCCCCTTTGGGAGTCTGCCGAAGCTGCCACATGCACTGTTAAAGAGATGCCCAGGAGGAGGGGACATGCCATGCCACGTGGGGCCACGCAGGGAAGACTGGGTCATCAGGAGGTGGAAGAGTGGAAGGCAGGCATGGGCAAAGCCGTGGGTGTGGTGTTTTCAGGAAGGAAGCAGTAAGGCACAGTAAGCAGCTGAGCAGCTCAAAATTAGTTAGTTTGAATAATTTTGGTGTGATCTAGGGTACACGGGTGGTTTCCAACTGTGTGGTACCTGGCACTGGGTGATTTAGGGCAGGGTAATTTATTGGCTTGAGTGTGAGAGGTCCACAAAGAAGGCGGTGGGGTGTGGGCTCCAGATGGGTTAATTTGCGAGCGAAAGGTGTGTTTGCAGGCAACTTGTTCACTGTCTCTAGCAATTAGCCAGCCCTAGGGGGGGCAGTCCCTCCCCAGGGCCCCAAGGCCCCAAGATGTTATAGCATCATAAAATACAGAAAAAATTTTAAAAACAAACATGATTAGTGCACACACATAGAGAGACACGCACACACAACTTTGCATCCAATCTCATGATGTGCAAGGCATGCGACCACTCGACACTGGTTGGGAGTGGGATAGGATTCCTGACCTATACTGCATTTTAAAGCCTTTCCAGGAAAGCGTATTGTTTGCTCCTCTTTTCCCGCTTAGGAAACCTTGTTTGCTCCTCTTTTCCCGCTTAGGAAACCTTGGTCTCGTCCTACCTGGTAGAAATTGGGCTGGAAAGAGAAAGAGTCCCAAGAAGAACTAGTAGAATTGGGGATAGAGCCACCTTCCGCTGGCTCTGAGTCCTGAGGTTGCTGTCTCTCTCACACGAATCCCCCTGTACCTCCAGCCTTCCATGTGCCCCACAACTGGCTGCCGCTCAGTCTTTGGCTTTGGTCTCATGCTGTCTTCTGCCCCTGCCCCCAGCCCACAAATGTGCAGATTCAACACTTTCAAGCAGGCATTCCCCGCCTGTGATGTGCATGGTGTCACATGTATCATAGGGAGAGTGACAGTACGAGAAGGCTCCCAGACCCATCCCAGCGAGAGAGGTGGGGTGGTACCTGGGAATCCACAGAGGCCTGTAACCCCAAGATGCAGGCAGTGTCCAAAGATGGCAGCCTGAAGCTGTGCTGCTCCACACTGTCCAATGTCAGGTCCCACAAACCCCCAGCAGTTCCAGAAGCTTCCATGAGGAAGGGCCAAGCTCAAGATGGCTACATCCCCACTGCCCAATGCTGGGCACTTGGGGCCTCTCCTCCTGACATCGTCCTTCCAACTCCAATGCCTCTCTTTGACGCCTATCAGTTTAGAATCATTGTTATCCTACATCATTCTAGAGGAGTTAGAACTACTATGTATAAAGTGACATAACAGCGTGTCGATTGCATTCTTGGCAGAGTTCTAGATTTGAAGACATCAGGCTGTTTTGCTGAGCACTGATGGTAGTGCCTAAGGATAGGGACTTGCCTTTTTGTCTCCCCAGAGTGTGCCAAGAGGGACCGAATGAAAGCTGTCATTAAGTGAAGTTAGGGTCGCCAGGAGGCCATTATGACTCAACGTTGCAGAAGCCTTGAAGCCAGTGGGAAGGGCAGAGCACAGGCCGAGGCTGAGTCCTATTACGTGGGGAACTTTCCCAGGGCACAGGTGTTCCACGTGCTTGGGATGATTTGGGTGGAAGAGAGCTTGTGCAAAATGATTCTAAATCTCCTCCCCAGGCCTCGGTTTCCAAAACCTTACTGGCTGCAGGATAAATTAAACCTTATATCCAAGTCAGAATCCTGGGCATCCACCCCTCTTTCCTCAGCCCTGCTCTCTTTGCACAGTTTGACTCAAAACTCCTTCAAATAGTCCCTTAATCAGCTGCATTTGTGCTGGTCCCCTCCCCGTCCCAGCATCCTGTCTGGGGCCTGGGTCACCGGCTCCCAGCTATTGCCATGTGTCATGCTATGCCATTAGCCTTGTCTCCTTCTGGGTTCACCTGCAGGTGCCTCACACAAGCACCCCACACACCCACATGCTGCTAATGACAGTGTCGGGACAGAGGGAGGTAACAGAGTGGCTGGAGCATCCTCCCCGGGAACATGCTCCTACTCTTTCTTGTGACTTGCTCATTTCATCCTTTCGTAACTGCCAGAAGCCATGAGGAAGTGGGGCTGGTCACTGCCCTTCCACACATGATGAATTGATCATAACTGTGCCTAGCAGTGCTCTGACCCTTGATGGGTATCAACTCATTAATCCGCATAATAACTCGGTAAGGTAGATGCTACTATTAGCTCTGCAGTTGCTGAAATCAAAGCACCAGAAGCTACGCAACTTGCTCAAAGGCATATAGTTAGCAACGACAGAACTGGGCAGGTCTGAGCCTAAACATGTAAATGTCTAGGTCTGTGCTCTGACCATTGCCACCCTCCACTGGGGTAGGGCAGTGGGGGCCAGACCATCATTGGTGCATGAGTCCTTCAGACAGAAAGGAGAGGAGGAACTCACTGAAAGCAAGAATACCAATGTCCCTGACTTCTCCTCTTGATGGGACTGCTAGAGCTGCACGTTTCTTAACGACTGTGGGCAAAACCCACTGGGATAAAATGCAGTAGTTAAATACGAAGTTCTGCACTGAGATTCACAGACTTGATTACATAAGGCCAGGAGGAGAGAGGCCCCACTTGACTAAAGGGCTTGTGAAAATCTAGGGCAAGCCAGCCTCTCAGGCTCCTTCGAAGTCCACAGTGTGCTTCGGCCACAACAGCACTAACACTGCCCTCGGGCATTGTGACATCTACGCAGCAGTGTGGCAGTGCTGCTGTGCTGTGCTAGCCCAGCCCTGTGCAGAGCGGTGTGGTAGCTGTGGCCAGATGAGGAGGGCCCTAGGGTGCTGCAGATTGTCCAGGTACTTTGCTATATAAAACACGAGACATTCCAGAACTGAGAGTGCAATCTTGGAATATGGCCAGCTGCACTCGAATAACTACAGGGCTGCAAATGTTATTTTTCTGTATGAAAAGTTAGAGACATTTCTGTGTCATCTCTGGCGTCAGAACAAGGCAAAGCCCTATGAGAATTCCAGGGATGCAGATTTCAACCTTAGCTCTAACAGGGCTGGGGAGGAGATAGGAGCCTGAAGCCCTTCCCGCAAAGGGGCCAGAAGATGATCTTGACAGGGTGGGTGGCTTTGAGCCCTACATCTCGGGCCAGAGTCAGGCGGGTGCTCCGGTCCCCACACGCCCGTCTTCCAACTCTGCAGATGAAGGCAGTGACCCCAGGCGCGAGGCACCGCTGGGCGCCGACCCCAGGGAGTATTGCATGTCTGACCGCGACATCGTGGAGGTGGTGCGCACCGAGTACGTCTACACGCGGCCCCCGCCATGGTCGGACACTCTGCCCACCATCCACGTGGTGACGCCCACCTACAGCCGCCCGGTGCAGAAGGCCGAGCTGACGCGCATGGCCAACACGCTGCTGCACGTGCCCAACCTGCACTGGCTGGTAGTGGAGGACGCGCCGCGCCGCACGCCGCTGACCGCGCGCCTGCTGCGCGACACCGGCCTCAACTACACGCACCTGCACGTGGAGACGCCCCGCAACTACAAGCTGCGCGGCGACGCCCGCGACCCGCGCATCCCGCGGGGCACCATGCAGCGCAACCTGGCCCTGCGCTGGCTGCGCGAGACCTTCCCGCGCAACTCCAGCCAGCCCGGCGTGGTGTACTTCGCCGACGACGACAACACCTACAGTCTGGAGCTCTTCGAGGAGGTGTGGGGCCTCTGTCGCTTTGAGTAGAGGCACGGGCTGGGCTTCCCGGGGAGGACCTGGGGGCAGGGACACACATAACGGGAGGAAACCCGGGAAGGGACTTGCCAGGCTGGGACCAGGGCAGACCGCAGAGCACCAGGGAAAGGGACCAGAGACGTCACTGCAGGTTACAGCATCCCCCACCAGTAAAGGCGAGACCGGTGGTGTTTGGCGCTCCTAAGCTATGGTCCAGTCTGAATGAGGGCTTTGCCAGGAACATTCGGTGTGGCTACCGGAAACCTCATTGGCGAAACAGTTGGAGCTTCTTTGGGGTTTATGGGCCCTGTTAGTCTGAGGGAGAGGGAGGAGTCATTTCAGACTCTCGCCGGGAAGACAGAGGTTTTTTTTTGTGCAAGGGAGAAAACAGCAGCAGGGTTTGTTGAGAAGGTGAAGATCTTCCGGTCTGAGAGGTCTGGTCTTGCCTAGAGCAGGCTCTTCTGCAGGTGCCCATCACGGGGTCGATGCCTGGGGGCAGGGCTGGGCGGCATGGCCGTGGATGGCTTCAGATGGCCCATCCCCATGGAGTTCGTGGACCGCTTTCACCTCCCATGGGCACGGGCGTCGTTCCCTCTCAGCAGGCCTGGGCGTCCTGACTCTGGATCCCACACTTGCAGATGCGCAGCACCAGAAGGGTGTCCGTGTGGCCTGTGGCCTTTGTCGGTGGCCTGCGGTACGAGGCCCCACGGGTGAATGCGGCAGGGAAGGTGGTCGGCTGGAAGACAGTGTTCGACCCCCACCGACCATTTGCAATAGACATGGCTGGATTCGCGGTCAACCTGCGGCTCATCCTACAGCGAAGCCAGGCCTACTTCAAGCTGCGGGGCGTGAAGGGAGGCTACCAGGAAAGCAGCCTCCTTCGAGAACTTGTCACCCTCAATGACCTGGAGCCCAAGGCAGCCAACTGCACCAAGGTAAGACCCTCTGCAGAACTGATGACAGAGATGCAAGCGTTTCTGTGTTGAGCCAGACCCTCCCGACAGATAAAGGGGAAAGAAACAGAGGTCTCTCAATAGCCTCGCCTTTCTGAAACGCCCCCTGGAAGGCACGGAGGGCAACAGAAGTAGCCATTAGGAGTCATAGCCTCCTTCAGATGAGCGGTGCTCCAGGCCCCCCTGCTAGACACACATGCACGCACCACACGTGGGCACACGTACACATGCATGCACACACACTTGGGAAATCCTGAGACTTGTCTATTTTCTGTCACTCCAGACTTCCTGTTCCCAACAGATATTTTGAAAGCATCACGTGTACAAACAGCAGGACCAAGGAGTAGGTAGAAATAAAGAACAATTGACAAAATCTTGGTGGAACACAGGCAGAGAGGGAGGGGCAGGAGAAATACTTGCAGGGTGTGGGAGGGAGCAGGGAGGTGGCAGGGCGAGGTCAGGGACCTGCCCCGTTTTGTTTTGTGTCCCTGGACACACAGATCTTGGTGTGGCACACACGGACGGAGAAGCCGGTGCTGGTGAACGAGGGGAAGAAGGGCTTCACTGACCCCTCGGTGGAGATCTGAGCCTCGGGATGCAGGTACAGGAGGCCAGGGGGCCGTGAACTGGGCGGGTGATACCGTGTTTCGCTGCAGCATGAATCTCTGGAGGCTTTGCCTCTTGGCCTTTCATTGTGGGAGGACAGGGCAAATGTGGGCAAAAGTAGACGAGGTGTAGCCAAAGCCCCCTTCCTGTTGTGCCGACTGAAAGTCCACAGGTGCCACTTTCACCCACACAGCTAGGTCCTCTGCCACCAGCCACTTCAGAAGGCATCACTGTCCTGACACCTCCTCCCGCCTTATCAGTGTTACTGTCGTGCTGGCCGCGACACCATACCACTGCAGGGCTGCTATTTAGGCCCACTCGCCCAGGTCGAGCCTCCTGATTTGCCACTTTCCCTTTGGCCCTCTTTGCTGCTGGCCAGGATAAGGACACCGAGCTCACAGCCCCACGCCAGCGAGCATGGCCCTCCACAGTGACGCAGCTCACGGCGAGAACACGGGCCGGGAGCCACTTCAGCTCCCAGGCCTGCCACCTCTCGCTGTTTGACTGTGCTTTACTTCTCTGTGCCTCAGTTTCTTCAGCTGTAAAGTGGGTCATTGAGGACACCAAGAACAGTCTGTGGCACCTAATAAGTCTTGTACAAGTGATGCTGCTTTTATTTGCTTTCTTAAAGCCCTCTGAGGAAGCGGACCACAGGATCTATCTAGGCTTCAGAGGTGAAGAAATGATGTTCAGAAAAGCTAAAGGACTTTTCCAAGGTGACACATTGGCACAAGTGAATTGTGCCGGGTGACTGGCAAAGCCAGGGTTTTTGAGGGGCTTTTCTGTGATCTTATCCTACCTCTTAAAAGCACCTCTTACTCCTGACTCCCTACTCTAGGTTATGCCAGACACAAGTGGGAGCTCAGACAATGGGACAGACCTCTGTCCTCTGGCCCTGGAGCTAAGCAACGCTCTGTATCATGCTGGCAACCACAGGAGACCGCAGGGTGTCACTCTGCCTATTTGTATTCCTGAACTTAAAAGATCGCCTTGGCCATGCCACTTAGAGAAGGCATCAGTGCAAGGCATCAGTACGGAGCCTTGTTCCATCCCCTGCCTCCTGCTCCCACGGAGTCACTGGAAGAACCTTCCCCACCTGCCTCAGAAAGGTCTAAACAGAGGACTCTGGGGCTCAGGCTCTGCCGTGCCTTGTGGCCCGTTAGAGACTCAGGATAGAGTGGCTTGGCCGGGCCGGCCGCCCCCTCCCCGGCCCCTCCCTCACTCATCCTCCTCTCCCTCACAGGAGCCTCCTCCTCTGACCCTGTTCTCGGCCTTCCATCCTCTCCCCACGGCGATGGTCCCTCCAAGGCAGACACTAAGGAATCACCATCACCCTCCTTTCTATTCTGGGGGCTTGCGAGAGAGCCCAGCCTGTTGCCAGGACAAAGGACAGAGAATTTAAGCACAGAAATCCCAGACCTGTTCTCTCCATCCAGCATGACCAGGGCCCGAGAGACCTGAGGGCTGGCAGGGGTGCAGCTGCCAGCAAAGCCGTGCCCCAGCGCACCTCCCCAGAAACTCCCTGCACCGAGAGGGCTGCACGAGCAGTCGCTGCGCCACCCATGCCTGCCTGGAGTGACGTGGGGCTGGGAGGGGGGCGAGAAGACCCCGCAGTCAAGTGGAGCGTGGCCCTCCCCAGCTCTCTGCTCCCGGGGCCAGCTTGACCACACAGAACACCCAGCCAGGCAATTCTGAAGACCAGAGAGAAGCCCCCGGGCATCACGAATGCCCCACTCCCCTCCTCAGCACCTGCTCTTCCCAAGAGCTGCTCCCAGATCAGACATACCTCTCTGGCTCTCCTCTGGTTCATGTTTACAGAGCATAAGGCTGTCTTTGATCCCAGCAGGCACCCAGCCCTGCATGGGGGGGCCTGGGCCTGCCAACAGGCTTCCCCTATACCTCAGGCTGTGGCGGGAGCGGAGTCCCTTCCTCTGGCCCCACTTCCCTCACGCCTTCTCCTCCAGCACTGGCAAGGAGGCGGGCCCTAGAGCCAGCACAGGTCGCTGCCTGACCTGGACTAAGAACCATGTGACCCCACTGTCCACACACTGCCTCCTCACCGCCCAGCTGGGCTGCAGGGCCCCTCGCCTGGACTGGACCGGGGAGGAGAGACGCCCTCCTCCTGCAGCTTTTGAGAACCACAGACCTCAGGGCTGGACGGGGCTAGTGGCACGGGAAGCGGAGTTCTCCTCCAGCCTGGAAAGAGGAGGGAGGCCAGGGCAATTCCCCAACTCCTTTCTGTCCCTGGGCTAAGGAGGAGTGGGCCTTGGATTAGCAGAGGGACTGAGGGAGAGCGGCAGGGATTGGTTCGACACTGAGGGGAAAGGAGACCTGAGCATTCACTGCTTGGGAAATCATTCTATTTTACACACAAAAAAAGGGAAAGAAAATCTCACTTCTCCCTAAGTTGGGAGCAGGCAGAGCCAGCGGCCCCACGTCCACCTGCCCCCTTCCCAGCCCAGAGAAAGAACAGTGTGCCACGAGCTGCTGCCCTCCCCCCAGGGAAGAGCGTCTCCCTGGGTCTCCCTGGCCACTGGGGAGGTCCCTGGCTCCCTGACCAGGACGGGCCCTCTGGTGGTGATCTCGCTCATGCTCCTGCAAGTTGGAAGCACAATTTTCCTCCCAGTGGAGGAAAAGGAAAGGGCCTGAGCCTACTGCAGAGGTGTTTATTTTTTAACCGCTAACAGCCCCCCCTCCATGAAACTCACAGGACAGGTCTGAGGACCATTCAGAACCCACTCCAGGGTGGGAGGATGCGACTCAGTCCAGAGACCTAACATTCAGAATATAGCATTGGTTGCCTATTTTCAAATGGATTTAACCTCCCACAGTATTCGTGAAACCATCCGATGGAATCAGATCCCTGAGCCACCTTGCAGGACGTTTTCCCCAACCTCTTACACTTTGGATGTCACTTTGGAAATTGGCCCCTTGGAATCAAGCGGGTGGCATGGGAGGGAAGGGAGGAGGTGGGCACAGGGCATCCATCAGATGAGTGAATTTATGTCTGGGCACTCGATGCCTCACTCACTGAAACCAGCCCTGGATGCCAACGTCAGCTTGGCTGTTCTGAGGCCACCTTCTTAGGCAAAAACCCAGGGCTTATTTTCAGGAAATTGATAACGAACAACGAAATGGGGACCCTTTTTGACAGATGCTAGGTCAGTTATTTTCACCTAATATCCTCTTTTAGCTGCATGTATATTTATTTATAAGTATAACCCTGGTGGACTGCAGCCTTCGTCTTTGTTGGGAATGAGTTTGTTATAAATGAGAATTGGGTCCATGAAACAGTTGTTTTCCAAGCCCGGTCTGTCCCCTGTCCCCTCAATGGCAAGCCCCGCCACACAGGAGTGAGAGGCCAGGGGCAGACAGGCGCTCTGAGGACAGAGACTGGGGTGAGGGTGGTGCCCGGGCAGCTGCATCTGGTCTGTTTTAATTTAACTGTATTTAATTTGCTTTCAAAATTAAAAGTCAAATATGGTTTTTAACAGTCCTAATCCTCTTCAGTCCTGCCTTATTCTCCTTTATTAATTTAGCCATCCAACAAATGTTTATCAGGTGCCAGTTATGAATAGGCATTCTTCTAGAAGCTGGTGCACAGCAGTGAGAAAACAAAGCCCTCATCCTCACGGAGCCCACCTTCAATGAGAGGAGATGGACAGTAACAGGTGTATAGCATTTCAGATGTGACCTGCTGCGAGGAGAACGGAGCCGATCGGCGACACAGAGCGCAGCAGTGGAGAGGGAGGTCAGAAAGGCCTGCCTGATGAGGTGACATCGAGCAACACCCGACAGGCAGCTCCCAGGGCACAGGGGCCATGTGGCTGTGACTGGCTGGCAGGGGGTGGGGAGTGGTGGGGGGAGACCAGGTGAGGGTGGGAGGAGGGAGGCCAGAATATGTCGGCCCAGGAAGCAGGGTCGAGCTTCGGCTTCAACTCCAAGCGCAGTAAGAAGGCAGCGAGGGTCCAGCACGGAGGACCGATACGATCCACTGCCTTTCAGAGAGCCACCCTGCTTCCTGTGCGGACGATACATGGAGCACAGGCAGGTGGGGAGGTGGCGCCTGCAGCAATCCAGGCACGAGGTGGCCGCAGGCCGGGCATGGGCACAAGCTTGGGGCAGAGAGAAGTGGTCGAATTCTGGATGTGTTTAAGGGGCAGAGCCAGGGGGATTTGCCAGTGGGTTGGAGGTGGGAGATAAGGATAGTCCGAGACACAGAACTGCCGTAGGGACAGGGCGCGGGGGGCAACATGGAGGAAATCAGAGCTCTGTTCCAGATACCTGCTGGAACGTGCAGGAGAGCAGGCGAGGGGAGCTGCCCAGATAGCCGGAGCTCAAAGCAGACCAGCACTGGGCACATTAGTGTCGAGGCTGTTCACCAAGCCACGGTGTCCAGGTGAGACCCATGCAGTGAGTGTGGACAGAGGCCCCCAGCATTCAGAGGCTGGGGCATGAGGAGGGGTCTTTGAAGAGACTAGGATGAGGCCGTGCAGCACAGAAGCTCTGGGCAACCTTTACTCACCTCCGGAGAATAAGCTCTGCCAAGAAGCGCTTTGACAGAGAAGCCGCGGGGTTAACTGGCAGAGAAGGACGAGAATAAGAAGTTGGTGCGGAAAGACCTCACCTTAAGAAACGAAACTTCTGCTCAGGTTTGCATAAAAGTGTAATTCAAGGGGATTCTTCATTTTATAAAAGGATTCACAGTAAAATTCCCTTAAATTCCAGCTCCCTGTCACATTTTCGAACAGAATCCATTTTACACACAGCTTTGCAGAAACACGCTCTCATTGCCCCCTGGCTCGGGCCACACCCAAGTAGCCCTGGTCTCGTCCACATCTTGGCTCGATGCTTGCTGTTCCGAGGCAGATCTGGAAGCTCTGGTAAGTTTGGGCAAAATTAGGGATTCTGCCCCCACTTTGCTCCCTAGCCACCCTGTCCACAAGCTCTACTCCGATAAGCTCCATCTCTCGCCCCAAGTGGGGCATGTGGGCCCCACACCCTCACCATCTACCCTTGACCTGCTCAGCCCTGGGCCCCATGGCTGCATACCACAGATGTCCCCCAGTGCACCACGCACAGGAAGCAAGCCTGCTGGCTCCGTGAGCCCCACGGCTGACATTGCCGCCGGTCTTTGCTGGGCTCCCAGTATGTGCACTGTGCTGGGGAGGTTTGACATTGACCGTGACTGAAGATAATATGTTAGGGGCAGTAGATGCCAGATGTAGTTTGTGAAGAAAAACTCACTCCCCCTGCCCGCCCCCACCCCGACCCAGCTAACTTACATGTAGCACTCTTGGCTCTCCGGCAGATTTTTACTCCCACCCACAGGAGTGGGTTTGTATTCGACCTCTCCTCTCCAGGGCACTTCCAATCCAGTGACAGTTCAAGGGCCATCGAGGTCAGGAGGGGTGGCAGGAAGCCAGGGGTGCGGACCATCCACCACTGGGGACGGTCAGCGTCTGCACCCTCAAGGAACAGCTGGGTTGAACATGAGCCTGACCCCAACCTGCCTCTCCGCTGGCTTAGGCTGGCACAGATGAGACCAGAGACATCACCCAAGACAGTTGATTCAACTTTGCTTTATTGCAATTCAGGACGGTGAGCCTGAGCCAAACCATTGCACTTGATCCCCGGAACGACAGTCTCACATTTGGACAGGGAGACAGCTGTGAAGGAGGGCGGCCTCTCCTCCCTGCTGCTTGTGTGTTGGGGGGCGGGGGTACAGGGTGGGCAACCGAGCTGGCAGCAAGGCCTGTGGCCCTGTGGCCACCCCAACATTCCTGGGGCCACCTGCCTAACACCACTGAGCTGGGCCTCTGTCCTCTCCCTCCCCAGATGCTCGGATACAGGCTGTGGTTTCTGTGATATCCGCCTTTACTCCTCAACTGACGTTTGTCTTCACTGAGTAAAACTAGAAATACTCCCTAATTTAGGAGAAGCAGCGGCTGAGTATTTCTGTTTCTCAAGCTCGGCTTGTCATCTGTCAGATGCAGCGAGAGTGGGAATGGAAAGGAGAAATCACACGTGTTTCTCAAACGGAGTTTCTTCGAGAATCCCAGAGAAGGCTCAGGGAAGGTTGTGAAGGAAGAACAAAGTCAACGCAGGTGAGACACCCCCCTTCTCTATCCTCTACAGATGGTGACAAACCCACGATTTCAGGAACACAAAGGGGCCGGGAGGGATGCGGCCCCACCACACCAAGAGCATTCAAGGAGCAGACCGGGTCCAGCAGGCTGCCCGCGGGCGGTGACTTGTGGCAGGGGGAGATGCCCAGCTAGTTTCAGCCCCTTCCTGAGGGCCCCAGGTGGGCAGCACTTGGCGATCTGATTAAACGCTGCCACCTGCGCGGAGACATCCCTCCGGCTCCTCCCAGAGGAACAGGGAGGTAGGAAAGCCGCCATCAACAAAGCCGGGCTGAGAAGCCACCTGGGTATGAGGGGGGCCCCTCCACGCCATCCCACATTTCTCTTCGGGTTTAGGGTTTCAAACTGAGGCGGGGGGCAGACAGGAGCCCCTTGGTCCCTGAGGTTGCTACTGAAGGAGACACTCCTGCAGGAGAGGGTGCCAGGGAGCAGCCCATGGGGCTTAGGGCCGACCGGAGGAGGTGGCGCTCGCCTGCGCCCCCAGCAGGAGGTACTGGGCGGTGCTGCTCACTTAATGTACTGGTTCCTGCCTAGGTGGGGGGTGTCAGTGGACTGTATCATCGGGCCTGCCATCGTCTCCTCGAAAATGATGACCTGGGGAGAGAAGGGCTGGGTGTGAGAGCAGCTGAGCTTGGTCCCCGAGCCAGACAAGGGCGCTATGAGTTGGCAGGGTGGGAAGGGAAGGGTTTGGGAACCAGGCTGGAAGGAACAGGGACCCTCATTGGCACCAAGGAAGAGGGAGGAAGAGGCTCACTGAAACTCCCCTCTGCCCTCACCAAAGGCTCCCAGGGAAACAGTCTGATGCCAGGGAGGGCAGGGATGGGCAAGGTGTCTCAGGGGAAAGGGAAGGAGGCTGGACGTGTTCCCACCTGGTTGATTCCTTTGTCCAACCAGGGACCTGGGAGGTAGAGGGTCTTTTGAGGTCCAATGTTCCAATAGCGTCCAAGGTTTTGGCCATTGATGAATACGACCCCCTTCTCCCAGCCCTTCAAACACAGTAGGAAGGGAATTAGTCTACCACGACAGCCACCAAATATACAGGCACACAGGAAGGCAGAGACAAACACACACTGTGCATTCTTCTCTCAGGTTCCAAGAGACCAAAGTGAGCCAAAGTTTGAACAACCATGAAGGTTAAGGGTGGGGTGTCTGTCTGCTATGCCACTAGCTCTAAGCATCCCCAGCAGGGTACCCAAGCTCAGACTGACGTGGGAAGCTGGGCCCCAAGAAACACCAGGTGGTGCTTCTGCTTTGAGCCTGCACCCTGAGCCTTCGGTCAGGGAGGCCCTCAGGGCGCAGGCTGCAGAGGGATCCAGCCAGGCCAAGCACATGTGGCTTTTGGTTCGGGGCCCTCTGAGAGGGAGAGGGGAGACCCTGGCAGGGAAGGGGGGCCTACAGACCTCCAGCTTCAGAAAGGTGTCAGAAGGGGAGGGGCCAACTGACAAGCCGCCCAGGAAGAAAGCAGGAAACGTAGGTGCTTCTGGGAGAGAACTCCATTTGTCAATGCCGAACCTGAGGGCAGAACAAGGGGCAGGAGGGGGAGGGAGGCGCTTTCTCAGATCTGCTTGCAGGGCTGCACCTAATTCCCAGGCACGTTTCTTCCCCATCCAAGGCCCCCAAGGGACCCCTGCCAACTCAGGGTCTGGTCACGTGGTGCCACCCTCCCCCTGGGCACGCCACTGCGGCCTCTGGGTCTGTTCACATATGCGCCGGCCCAGCGGGGTGAGGAAGAGCGTTGTCCACTGCACGCTGTGAGCTCACACACTGCACAGGGCGGGGACCCACCTCTGAAAGAAGCTCTTTTTCATATCCAGGCTGTAGATTCTGAATTTTTTCAGGGGAGAGTCATCCAGATAGAGATTTCCTATTAAACCTGTGGGAGGGAGGCAAGGAGACACGAGCAGGCCCTAAGGTAGGGGCAGCGGTCCTGGCCAGGCCAGGGCCACCGGGGGCAAGTTCTTGGGAAGTTCGGGTGCTGAAGTACAGCGTAGGCTGCCCAAGCAGCTCTTCACTTGGAACAAGATTTCCCTAGAAGGACCACGGGGGACGAGAATGAGGAAGACCCTAGGGTTTTTCAGGGACGAAGGACACATCTGAGGTGAGTGACAGAGCAGAGGTGTCACAGGGCGAGAACAACCTCCAGCCTCTCCCTGAGGGATGGTCCAGATGACCAGGAGGTCACAGGGGCTCTGACCTAGCTGCAGGGCCAGTTCCAGTGGGGTCCAGACTAAGCAGACCTGATAGCTCAGCCAGAAACCCTCTGCACCACCTAGGGTTTAACATATTTTGAAATATCTAAACTGTGAGCAGAGGACACCATCACTTGGGCATCCAACACTGAGGAACTGCGCACACTTGAATATCGACGAATTAGTGCCCTGGGGACTGGGCCAGCCACGGCAGTCCCAGAGCGGCTCCCGCGGTCCTCTCGCCCACGGCGCTGCTGAGTTGCCAGAGTGGAATCCAGAGACTGGGGACCTTCGTGAAGAGGCATCACAGGGCCTGGGGGCAGGTCTGTGACTTACCTCAGTGCACTACAGTCAGAGGACGGGGCTCTGCAGGGAGGGGCCAGGGCACCCGTGATGAGGGTTCTGGGGACACAAAGGCTGAAGCAAGGGTGAGGCCGACAGTTCCTTCCAACCCAGGGAAACAAAGGAAGGACCTGAAGAAGGGCCCAGGGAGGGGCTCCCGGGAAGGTGCTGGGACAGGAGAGGAACCGTGGCAACTGTCCAGGGAAGGGAGGAAGCCAAGAGAGTGCTACAAGCCACTCCGGAGAGGTCCCAACCCCCAGGATCCCGGAGGCCCCACGTCTGGGCCACGTGGCTTCCCTGGCTGGCCACCGGAAGGCTCTTGGCTCTTCTGCCCAAGGAAGAGCTTTGTGAGTTCCCTCCATTACAGACACAAACACCCCTGAGAGCACTGGGAGGTCGCCAATTCTGTTCGCAGTAGTAGGATTTATTTTGTCTGAGTTTTTTTTTTTAATAACTTACCTGAAACCATCCACATTTAGACCGATAGATTTTTTTAAAGAGAAAGGCTAAATTAAGGCACAAGATTTAGTCAGCCAGAAAAAATACAGTGAACTGGTGGGACAGTCCCAGAGGGGCACGTCGTCAAGGGGTTTTGCTGACTGTATGTCTCGCTTCCTGCCCCCACCACACCTGAGATAGTCTATGGTTCCCCAAGACGGATCGAGAAAAGGCATCCAGTGTGGAGGCCCAAGAAGGCAGGGGCCTGGGCCCTGCTTCGGATTCTTGGAAATCCCATTCCTGGCTGCTCACCACCGTCCCCAAGCAGACATCCCCTGCTAGAGCCGACGGCAGCCAGGGAGACGGGGCGCCAGCTCAGTGCTCACGTGCGTCCACTGTGAGCACACGGACACTGCAGGCGTAGAGTGCTGAAGGGAAAGAGGCCAGAACCCCGCGGGCTTCTCTGGCCCACTCAGACCTGGCCTCGCCCGTAGAACAACCAGCCCCCACCTCCGCCCCGGGCCTCCACGGCCTGCTGGGGCACTGGCACGGAGCTGGGACAGCCCGCATGTGGTGCACGTGCACAGGCTGCTCTCTCCTCCGCCTGTGCCGGGACCCACCTTTGCGCTGGTCATCGATGTTATCCCCATAGTTGACTCGCCCACGATTCTCCACCAAGATCCTCAGCACCGTGTGACCCTGCCAGGAACACAGTGGCCGAGGATGACTGCCCGATTACCTGGCCAGATGGTCGCAGCTGCACCTTCCAGAACTTGTGTGTCTCCGAAGCCCAGGCCTTCCCCCCACTCTGAGGGTGGCAGTGAGCGCCCCAGCTGGCCAGATGGTCAAGCTCGCCCCTCTCCACCTGCAGCTCACGGTTAAGGAGCCGCCTGTCTTTCAGTTCTTTCTCTGTGACTCCCATCAAACTCCCTCGGAAGTAGCTGGGCCAGCCGTGCCCCGCTCCCAGGACAACAAACCTGGACCAACGGGATTACGATCCTCGTCATCTTATAGTCCAAGAATCCTATGGATACCATGTTCACAAACACCTGCCATAGGGAACAGAGGAAAGCATCCGGGGTCACCAGGAGGCAAGGCAAGAGGGACCTCTGCCAAGCCAAGAAGGAGGCAGCACAGTGTCACGCGGGCCAAGGTGGGGGTCAGCCAGGTAGGGTACAAAGGAATTCTGGGAAGGATTGAGAGCCAACAGGCATGGGCAGTTTTTACACGCTGACAGCAGAGACAGATGGACATTGCAGAGCCGGTCACTAGGAGGTCACAGGAATTAAAGAGGTGCTCCTACCTGCCCCCGATCACGCACAAGACCGCTGAGGACACCAGACGAGGTGATGGTGGTCTCATACAGAATGTACCCAAAGGACTGGCCATTCCCCTCGTTGACTGGCAGGTTCTCCATGTTGATGGGCTTTTCAGACTTGATTGGCTACGTACAGAAGAGACAGGAGCCCAGGGCCAGGCTCAGGAGGGGAGAGGCAGCAGCGTCTTCTAGGGTGCAAGGTAGCAGACAGGCCCTGCCCGGGAGCTGGCACACGGGGCGAGAGGCAGGGGCTCTGACGTCTCATCACACTAAACCTGTGGCTCTCCAGGGTCGCAGGGATGAGGGATGGGACACAGGGGTAATAGCAGGGTAGAGCCCTGCAATCAAGTGGACTTTTAGCTCCTGCAACCACGGTCGTTCTTGCACCACAGAACTTTCTCAACCAGCTGAACCAGCTGCGGCAGGTGTCCCCTCACAGGGGAAGAGGCCATTCCTCTACCCCTCTCCCTCCTCTCTGAGGCTGGACAAAGGAAAGGCCCTGGGGCCGCCCATTCTTCTCCCAGTTCCCTTGTTCCTTCCACTTCACACTGTAGTGTGAGTTGCCCCTCTTCACTCTGAGTTCTAAGTTGGAGAGTGGACTCCACACCATCAACAGTGGGCTTCCCTCCTCCCGGCACCCCCACGACCGCCTGCAGCACTCACCTCCCCCATGTACTTGAGGGCGTCCCACAGAGACAGGTATAAAACCGGCATCATCGGCTCATACGTAGTCTTGGGAAGAAGGTCAGGCGGGGGAGGGAGAGGGGCACCTGCCGCACAGACACACAACATGGCTGTCCCCAAATGACCCAGATGGCCACTGCCTCCTCCACCCTCCACCCGGCTCCTACCCACGGGCTGATGTGCCCGTCTCCTCGCACCCTGTTCCTCGCAGGAACAGGGCGGGTGTCAGCGCACACCTAGACCACTGTTAGAAGGCAATGCCTTGGGGGAAGGGGGGTCTCTTATCCTCCACGTGAGAGAAGGAGCCTCGACACCTACAAGTACGGAGATGACGCTGGCAAGGTGCACACTACGATGGAAACAGCGAGTGTCTCAGACTCTCCTGTCCTTGTCTAGGATGCTCTTGCACACAGATTGGCCGGGGTTGGGGGGGACAGCAAGGAGAGAATTTGTTAGGGGTCTCACAGCAGAGGCAAGGGCCTGAGTCGGAGCTGACAGTTTGTTGGGTACCTGAGAGGGAGCCAAAGAAGTCTCGAAGCTTGATGTACTTGGCTGTGTAATCTCCGGCCTCCGTCAGCACAGCGTCATAGTCTGCAAGACACCGGGGCCTGCTGAGGTCATTCCTGTCCCCAGGACGTGCATACGGCAGCACACAGAAAAGGGAGAAGCTAGGGTAGGGCAGCAGGGGCCTCATCTCAGCAGTCTGGGAGGCAAAACACTCAGCCATTCAGTCAAAACACTCTAAATACTAAATACCATAAAACACTGAAAAACTGCCCACGGTCACAGCATGACTCTAAATTTCTAGCTGCAGGCAGAATTTCTACTTTCTGGGGACTCTATACCTAAAGCGGGGGAGGGCCACATGCCCTCAAGGGTCCGGGTAAGGAGGGGAGGCTGTGTCCCTCCTGTCACCCTGGGGGGACCTCCTGTCACCTCCAAGAGACCTCCCAGCACAGCAGCTGGCTCATGGTGCACCGACCGCCTGCGTCTCCCACTGCACTGGAAGTCTGAAGAGACCATGCAGGCAAGGCCTCTACCTTCCCACATACTTTATGGCCAACGACATTAAGAGTGCCAGAGTTGTCCCTGAAGGCCTCTCCACACACACGCTGGGGTGGGCCGGGGAGGACAGCGCTGAGGGATACTTGCCGTAGCTGGTGACATCTGACTTGTATTCATGGAAGTGCATGGCTCCATTTATGAAGCCAAAATTGGTGCCTCCATGGAACATGTAGAGGTTGATGGAGGAGCCAGCATCCACGATGGCGGACACCGTCTTTAAAACCTCTACAGGAGGGGAGACAGGGGCACGTGGTGCGAGTCAGCGTCTGAGCGAGCCACGGGTCCCTTCGCTGCTCTCTGCTCTCATGCTCCCAAACCTCCCCCTCAAGGCCAGCGTCCTGGCCCTGTCCGTCAGTGCTCACTAAAACCCCAATCACGGAAGACTGGGGAGAAGGAAGAGACTGGGCCTCCAGCCGGCGCGCTGCTCCCCGCGTGTCTCACTCAGCAGAACGTGAAGAGACGGGTTCGTTGGTAGAGATTTAATTCCGACCATCTCCCCTACCCTACCTTTACTAGGAAATGAACCATGATATGAAAAGATAATATCAAAGGAGAAAAATAAATGGCTGCTAAGGACATGTTTTATTAACATAAATCAAAGAAATGCAAACTAAACAATAATGCCTCAAACAGGCGAATATTAAAAATTATCTTAATACACAGTGTTGATGAGTGTGTGGGACATGGGTACCCTCCTTTCATAATGGTGAGTAAAAATTGCTACAATGTTTCTGGAGGGCAGTTTGGTAAGGATGCATGGCAGAACTGCACTGACACAGCAGTTCTATTGCTGAGCATAGGGAAGTAATACGCCAGGTGTGCAAAACCACGTGTTCAAGATGTTCACTGAAATGGCATTCAACTAACAAAACCACTAGAAACGACCTACGAGACAGGGCCAGTAAATTGTGGTTTAGAATGGGGTTCTTCACATCCTTTAAACAGTGACATAAGTCTATATTTAGTAGTAGAGAAGGCTGGCCACAGGTGTCATTAACTGGCACACGCAGGTGGCACACAGCACAGCATGATCGCGCCTGGCTGCATCTGCGTGTGCATACGGGTAGAGGTACAGAGAACTGCCTGCATGGTATACAGCAAAATGCTCTCTCTGGGCTCTGAGATTTGTATTTCTTCTCTATACCTTTTTGTTACATTTTCTGAATGTTTGCAATAGGGCATGCATTACTAATTACAAAAGCATTTTAAAAGCAATGTTAAAAATCCTACCATTCACTTTAAGTGCCAAGACAAATGACTCTGGAGTATCAAGAGCTGACTGCTACACCCTACAGCTGAGCCACATCCACCAGCAGGTTATTTGAAACTGACTCTTACTTCTTAGCCTGACACACGTGCTGACGTCGGTGCTGCAAAACACTCACCAGAAGAATCCAAGATATTGTGAGGGCCTCCCCACGAGTCAAACCACCCGGTCCAGTACTCCATCACCATCTTGGGCTGAGTCCCCTGGGTACCACAAAGTGACAGTCAGAAGGGCAGGCTGGCCCAAAGACAAAGACAGCACCCCAGGACCCCTCGCCATAGAGGCCTCTGGAAGCAGAGCACAGACGAGGGCTGAATGCACCTGCTCTGGCTCACCCACCTTGTGCGGCTTCCACACCTGTAGGTGCAGAGCAGAAGCAGCTACAGAAGTCAGCGCAATCGACCGTGATGGCTCCATGTAGTTTTAATGTCGCAGACGTGCTAGCAAGAAGACACTGGTGTGCTTTCCGGATCAAGCCAAGCTTTGCCCATCTCCTTCCATGGAAGGAAAGTGTTCTATCCAGGGTAACTCCAAGGATAACTCTCAGAGATGCTGAGAGGCACACAGCACCCTCCCCCATCCCTGGGGGCTGCTTCCCCGTAGCCAGAAGAGTCAGAGGCTACAGAGCGGGCCCTCTTCAAGGTCTAGCTTACTTTAAACAGCAGTTTGCAGCAATTTTCTGAACCAGAACATCAGGCCTTACAGCACAGCTGTAAGTGCAGGTTCTGCAGCCACAATTTGGACTCGCACCTTGGCTGGGACACTCAACAAGTGTTGTTTCAGAATATCGACTTTGCCGCAGCATGGCCCCAAGGAGGCAGAGATCAGTCCTGGCACCATGCTCCACTCCACCGTGTTTGCAAAAGCCCCAGAGCAGGGCGAGGTGTGAGGTGCGAGGACTAATACGCTAGAATTTCAGGCTCTGCACTTGGAAAGCCTTTCTCGTTCGCTCAGTAACTGTTTATCAGGTCTGCTCTCTGTCAGCCTTACATTTAGAAGGCAACTGTACACACAGCAACCAAATCTGACCCAGAGTGATGGGACAAACTTGTGGTCCGCTGAGTAGAAGGCACCAGCCATACCTGGGTAAAAGCCAAAGTAGTCCCAATAATTTCTTAGCAAGACTGTGGCTTGGTTTTCTTTATAAGCCGTCTACCTCCCACGAAGGGAGGTCCATACTGTGCCCCATTTAAGTCACTAAAAAGGGAGAGGCAGATTCTAAGTCCCACATCTCAGGAGTCTCCAGTGCCTGGAGTGGGCTCCTTGGCCTAAGGGTGCCAGGGCCAAGGAAAGTGGGCGTCCGCCGTGGCCCAGGTCACTGCTCTGCACAACGGCATTAAGAGCTGGAGCTCCGCAATCAGATGGCGCTGGAATCCCTAATCTCCGCTTCCTGGGTGCTCTGACCATTCTACGGCTCTCTCCTTCAGTGTCCAATAGTAATAGCGGGAGCTGGCCCACGCGGTGAGGGGACAGCCAGATGAGACGGTGCACATAAGCCCTCAGCACAGGGTGCCTGGCAGATAGGAAGAGCTCAAGAGACACTGGCATCATTCTCTGCACCACTGAGCATGGACATTCAGGACTAGCCAGGTGCTACTGGACAGCCCAAAGTTAAGCAGACCTAGGGCCTGTGTTGTGTACTAGAGAGCCCTTGATTTGAACAAAGAAGCACCCAAGTCCCCTTCCTTACAAAAAATAGCCATCTTTGGACTGCACACAGAAAGCCCTTCAGCAGTGCCATTCTGTTAACAGGACAACCGGTCTGGGAAGACACAGGTGTGGCTACTGCTCCAAGGATGACCGTGAGGGAACCAACCTGAGGCTTCCAGCTGCATCCGCTGCTGAACTGGGTGCTTTCCAGATATCACTTTGTTGAAGCCTAGGCAACCCTGTGAGTGGGTACTATGAGCAGATGACTCTCATCATCCCACTAGCAGAAGAGATGTGCAGAGAGCTTAAGTGACTCCCCGGGTCACATGCTGCAGTGTGGCCAGGTGGCTGCAGGGGCAGCTCACGGCATCCTGTACTTCTCTTTGGCACTCAGGCTCAATTCTACTTAGTTATGGGGAAGTTGTATATTTCATATGTCTCTCTGTTCCCAAGTAGGTTATACGCCCCAAGAGGACAGAGACCCCATCATCTGAGTGATGAAGTGCCACCACTCCAGACACAGGGTGGGCACTCAGAAAGTGCTGGAAGGAAGGAAGGAAAGAGGACGGGACTCAATCTGGACCCTTCTGGCGGGTCCATTAACTCTTGCTTGGTCTGTCACACTGAAGTCCACCTGGGAGCAGGTCCCATCCCGTCCCACCTCCTCGTGGGAACCTTCCCCGCCCATTCTGGCTGTCTTCTGTCATCTATGCTGCAGTAGTAGTCACATCAAACCCATGTGGCCCTCATGCTATGTGGCCGCACACTGCTGCGGTGACTCCACGTGGATGTGCCTGAAGACACGACCCTGGCTCTAAAAGGCCGTCAGCTGGGATGGAAAAGCAGCCCAGGAGCTCCACGGCATCTACGCTCGCTCAATACAAACACCCCAACAGCTCTGCTCTCAGGCAGGGGACCGAAGTGGACATGCAACAGGTGGGCAGGTCTGGGGGCATTCACACCCTTCAGTGAGCCAGGGTGACGGGGGGCTGCAGCTTGCCCCAATCACGTCCGTCTCCTCAGGATAGAAACACGAACTCAAGAGAGGTCAGTCAGAACAGAAGGGCTCTATGAATGCCCATCAATCTGACGGATGTTAAGATACATCCAGAAACTCCTCTCTCTCTCCTTCTGACCTGAAGTGGACCAGGCTTCCTGGCTGATGACAATAATCTCTCTCCCTATCAGACACCTACATGGCACAGGACAGGGAAGTGTTTCTGTTCTCCTCAATCCCTGGTAGCAAGTCGGGCTGGTGGAGTCCACAAAAGCCATGGGGCACTGAAAGGGCCCCTGTCAAGGGCAGCGAATCTCACGTACACAGCGTCAGGCTGCATAGCGACACCCCCTGGGGCAGCTTCTGAGCCACGTCCCTGCAGGCGCAACGTGCTGACAAGCTGGGACGGCCCAGAGTCCCCCTCCCTGCTCTGGGGAACCCTGAGCGCAGCGCCAGGCATTCAGAATCCCTGCCACGTGCTGAGCGGGACCGGCAGCTCCCCTTGGGCCAGACTCACCTGGACACTTAAGAGAAGGCTGGTCAGCAGCGGCAGCTCCTGTGGCGACTGCAAGTTGATGGTGGCCAGCACTGTCCAGGAGAAGGAGGAGAGAGAGACAGAACACTGTTGGAAAGCCATAGACTGTCTGCGTCACCCCAGGCCCCCTCAGTGCACGGGCACAATGAAGTAACCAGTCTGGACACTGCTCCGTCTCTGACTAGAGGCCAGCGTGCCTCTGCTGCTGGGAGACGTGTCTGTCCATCTGTGAGATTCCACCACTCCGCACAGAGCTGATGCAGCGGCCGCTCGTGTAGGCATCTGTCCTTGACTAACTGTGATTTTTACAAGCAGAGCGTGCACTTCTGTCGATTATTCTTTTGTAGGAACCAGAGCCTGATCTGCACTTGGCACCGCAAGCATCCAGCGCAGGGCAATGACCTAAACAAAGACTTCTGTCTTATTTCCTGATAAGGGCTAATCTTCCATTCTACTCCATAATGTGCTCCTTTTGAAATTTAAAGTGCTATTTTCAGTGGTTTTCCATCAGTGAAATATATACTCAAGGAAGATGTGCTAAGTTTGTTCAATGGCCAAAGACCCCTCAGCCCAGCTGCAGAGTTTGGCCACCTGAACAGCTGGCGTCACGGGTGCAGGCCAGGGCTAGGGCTCCAGTGGGCCTAGGGAGGCAGGACAGAGACGGAGCCGGCCTGGCAAGCGCAGCCACCCTGTGGGACATAAGTTCCCAACTACCAGTGAGGAAAGACAAACATAGCTTGGGCTCCAGGAGGTGCAATAACCTGCCTCAAGGTGACAGAGTCAGTGAACAGCCCACCTGACATGACCCATCGCCTGGTGCCGTCCCTGTCCTCCAGCCACGCACTTGATGAGACCCTGCACTCAGACCCTCCTCACCTCACTTAGAAGCCCCTAGAAGACTGGGGCCTTCCTGAAACCGACCAGGCAGAAACTGCCAAGTTCAAGGATTCACACGGTTCCCTGAACACAAGCGTCTCTTTCCTACCCTTCCCGACACCTCACAAAAACACTAGAGGATGGACAAGTAGACAGACGCAAGGGACAGGAAGGGAGAGGAGACATTAAGAAATCCCGGGAAACTGGAAAAGGACGTCAGGACTGCAGGCAGCCCAGCAGAGCGAAACAAGCGACGGCCACCTCCCACTGCAGCCCCAGACCTCACCCCCCTCCCAGCCCCCAGCCCTGTCCCCAGCCTCAGGCCTCCTTCCCACCTGTGCCTGTCCCCTCCTCAGGGACCACACTGTCTGGGAAAGCTGGACCTGCACAGCTCCAGGCCTGGGGGTAAGAGAGTGAGGTGGGAGGTGGAGCGTGAGAGGCGGGCAGTCTGGACAAGGGCTGTCCCGATACCAACAGCCGCTTCTCCAGGACACTCAGTAGTGCCAAAGATAACATCTCCAAACACCGACATTTGGGTTCCCTCCTTGAAAGAGCACCACAGCCCAGTCACCCCCTGGAGAAGAGCCCCCATCAGCAGCCTCCCCCTCACTCAAGCCCCCAAGTGGCGATTACGGCCTCCTCCTCACGCTGCTCAGGAGGACCCACAGGAGAGAACATCCCCTCAAGCGGAAAACTGAGCACAACAGGCAGCGGGAAACAGAGCAAGCAGAACCAACGAAAGGAACACACAGTGTTTTTAAAAAGCAAAATATCCTCAGAGAGAGAGAAGAAAGGTAGTATGCACTTAGTGGAAAAAGTATGCTATGAGAACAGAAATACATTCAGGAAATAACAGAAGGACTCGAAGATAAAAGTTGAGGAAGTCACCCAGAAAGTAGAACTAAAGAACAGAGAAAACAGTAGAAAAGGTGAGAGACTTGGAGGATGGACATGAAAGTCCAGCACACAAACAGCAGGAATGACGGGACGGGCAGAGGAAAAGAAGGCGGAGCCTTGTCGAACAAACGCAACGGTCAGGTGGTCGCCGCGGGTGGACGGAGCCGTGCGCACGACCCACGGGAGCCCCGTGAAGGTGAAGAAAGCCTCGCACACACAATGTCACTGGGAAGGGCCAGAATACCAAGATAAAAAGAAAATTCTAAAATGTTCTAGACAGGCTGGGGGAGGGGGAGAACAGGACAGAGAGAAGGGTCAGGGACGAGGACGGCAGTGTGCTTCACAGCCACAGTGGGAGCAGGAAACAATGGGGCAGTGTCTTCAGAGTGCCAGGGAAGAGGACCCCACGCAAGAGCTCACGCAGGGATAAAGCCACGCAGCGGCCACCAGGCAGATGAGAAACACCGGAGCGAGGTCTCCGGACAGCCAGCGCAGACCTGCGATAACGGCTGATGCTTACAGCGTCTGGAAAACACCCGTGACAGTGTTAGGAAGGTCTCTGGTAAAGTATGTGTTTAAAAGAGAAAACAGTTGGGAGGGGTGAGGGAGAAAGGGAAAAAAGGAGAAGCGTTGAAATGAAAAGAAAAACAAATGGGACGATTACACTGCGAGTGACAACTAAGCACACTGAGAAGCGAGGCGTCGGCGGGCCCCTGAGAATTCACAGACACCGTGCAGGCGGTGACCACGGGCAGCAGCGGCCGCAGGGAGGGATCCGCACGTGTCCATGATGCCGGCGCCAGTCAAGACCGGGAACAGCTACGCCGGCAGGAAAGACGGCAAAGAAAGCCAAGTCATCCTCTGGAGCAAGACGCCAATGGGCAGAACTGAAAGCAACGAATGCAGAGTTCTGTGTGCATGTCGTCGAGAAATAGGAAGGAAATACCCGAAGAAAAAGTCAGAAGAGTTGGAAAAGGTCACTTCTGGTGAATGGGATGAGGAAGCAGGCAATGCTGTGTTTCTCTATAAGCATTTTCTACCATTTATTTTAAGTCCATGTGGATGCATTATTTTAACTAATTTTTTAATTACTTAAAATAATGAAAAAAAATTCCAGGCAGCAGGTGGCACCAGGGGCACGAGGGCAGTGCCTGCAGGGAGGAGGAGGACGTGCAGAAGGCAGCCAGCTTTAGGAGACTGCCCAGCATCCTCACCCTCACAGGGCCTGTAATAGGCCAAGTGCTAAAAATGCGCAGCGGCATCAAAGGAGTCTCCCCTGCGTGGCCATAGCCCCTCCAAGCCTGCGCTAGGCCGTGGAAGCAGCCACGGGGAAGCAGTGCCACCACGTGGACAGAGCGGGAATTGCTGCTGGTCCTCGTCCTGCCCTGAGATACAGGGTCTGGGTCCTTGACCAACTTGCTCTGCCTGGGGACAAGAGCCTTCTCCTCCCCATTCATCCAACAGTCATTCCCTGAGCTACATGCCAGGCACTGCTGCAGGGATACAGAGATAGACGTCTCTATCTTAAGCAGCTCAGGCTATGGAGGGAAACGCAAAAGAGCACAGAGAAGCGTAGGACATGCTGTGGCACAGCGCAGGAGTCTGCAGGAGGCCCCGCCGCAGCCCCTAGGAGGGCGCTTCATCTTTTCAGTCCACAAACCAGGTCTCTGTGCGAGAGCACAGCCTGACAAGACAGGCAAAGCCCAGCCCCGCAGGGCTTACTGCTGCGGCCAGACAATGAACAAACTGCCCCGAATGTTAGAAGGCAAAAGGCAAGCAGGGGAGGAGACTAGGGAGCCCCGGGAAGATGTGCTGTTCCAAATCGGCGCTCGGAGAAAGCCTCACTGCGAACAAAGATGGCCTCAGAGAGCAGCCGCCCCGCTCTCCGGAAGTAGTGCAAAGTCCCCAGGGCTGGGGTCCGGTGTATGCCCCCAGGAACAGCAGGGAGGCCGGGAGGGTGGAACAGAGTGGGCAAAGGGGGAGCAGCAGGGGAGCTCAGCTGGCCGGGAGGCTGGTGGGGAGGCCCTTCTGGGTCATTCTCAGAACTTGCGCTTCACTCTGAGCTGGGGACACCTGGAGTTCAAGCGGGGAAGTAAGATAATCTGGATGACATTTTCAAAGGCACGCACACACAGGCTGCTGTGCTGGGAAAAGTCGTGGAGGAGTCCTGGAATAAAAGGGAGGTCAGCCCAAATGCTACTGCAGCAACGCGAGCGAGGACGGTGTCTCGGGCGAGGTGGTGAGACGGGTTTGGATTCCGGATGTGTTAGGAAGTTAGAGCTCGGGATCAAAAGGACGTGATGACGGCGGGTGTGCCCCGCACACGGGGGCGGAGGGCTGAGAGAGACTACAAGCTCTGCGGCCTGCGCAGTCGGGGAAAACAGCCGCAATTGTCTGACAGAAGGAAGCCTGCGATCTGCAGAGAGCTGCGGTGCCCCGAGTGCTCGGCAGGGTGGGAGCCCAGCCGCAGGGCTGACCCGGGCACCTCCGTCTCTGGCACGGCCCTCCAACCCTCCGCAGCCCAGGCCCAGGCCCAGTGCACCATGGTAAGTCCTGCTTGTGTCTCAACCCCGCCTGGGGGAGCGCACGGCCGGGCTGGGGCAGCTGCCTGCCGGCGTGGCCTCCCCGCAAGTACCTCCGCGGACGAGTCCCTTGCTCAGGCCGTCCTTGTTGTCTGAAGTCAAGAGCAGCTCCACAATGCCGCGGTCCTCCAAGGCCTGTGGTGGGGGAATAAGATAAGTCATCGTCTGCCCTCACTCCTCAGAGCTTCTGCAGTGTCACACAGCTGGGGACAGGGTAGCCTGAAGAGTAAGAGGGACAGAGTCTAAATAAAGCATTTATTTCTCTGTGGAAAACAGAAAAAACCTATCTGTGCCTGCCATACTCAGCAGAGCCCCAAACAGCTTAATTCCAGCCACATCGGGGGAGAGGTGGCCCTTGGTTGTCCCTATCTGGCAAAGCGCCGGTCTGGCTGGTCTGCTGTTCAGGGAAGCCCGCTGCTATGCCATCCCCCAGACACACATGCTGGGCTCCAGCGAGGGGCTCAGGCCTCTGGGACAACACCCACATCCTCCCTTCACCCACGATGAGCAGGCAGCGCTTCCCCATGCCGAGCCAGCAGGGGCTTGGGCAACAGCCATGCCCCGTCATGTGCCCAGGTGCGCTGCCCAAGCCCAGCAGAGCAGGAAGCGCCCCGGAGGCTGTACTTCAGAGGGTGAGGAACTGGAAGAAACGCACCGTGCTCGAGCAGCAATGGCGACTGTGACGCTCCGAATAACCGCTAACATTTATGGAGCATTTGCTACCATGCCAGGCCTTCCGCTAAGCACTTTACACAGACTGTCCTATTCGATCTTCATGATTAATACCTTAATAGCAGAAGAGGAGGCGCGACGAGGCCGACTCAGGTGTCACGGATTGCAGAGCTACGGCGAGAGCAAGGCCTGAACCCAGAGCCCATCCTCTTTCAAAGGCTCTGCTCTGGGGCTCTGGGCTCTTTCGCATGAGAAACCCCAGCAAAGGGGATGGACCTCCCTATAATTTCCTCTCCAGATACATGACAAAACTGTTTATTTCAACTGCATTCTTTTGGAAACTGGGGAGGCAGAGAGATAATCCGGTGGGTGAACAAAGCTCCTGTGTAACCCCATGTGCTGTAAGGAGCCAGGTGGGGGGGCTGCAGTTCTCAGGCACGAAACCTGCTGCAGAGTTTAATCCACGAGGCCAGGGGAGATTGTTATCAAAAGCCCTAGATCTACTGCCTTACGACTATCTAACTAGTGCTGGGGCTCAGAACACAGTACCCCAGGACGAAGGCCTCAGAAGCAGCCTCAGAAGCAAAAGTTTTCCTCTGAACTTCTCCTGTCCTCCTGTCTCCCAGTCCCACTCTTCCCTGAGGCTAGCTGTAGGATCTGGACTCCCTCTTTCCCAAGGTGGGCCATAGAAACCAGAACCCCTTTTCTCAAAATCCAGCCATAAAACCTAAAATTATTCTGTGTAAAAATTGGCCGTAAAGAAACTATCTGACCTACCTTGTTTGACTGTAGGTCCTAAGACCCCCATTCCAGAGAGGGCCCTGCCCCACACCCCGAGGAAGGAACGCTGCCCAGAGAGGCCAGGAAGAATCCAGACAGACAGGCCTTGCTGGGTTTCCCACTCAGTCTGTTAGCATTAGCTCATACCCTTTTTGTCCAATCATATTTCTACACGGCTGTCCACATTCTGTTGAACCTAAGCATAGATATGGGCAATTTCCCCTGTATCTTTGGGTCTTCATTCTAAAGGCTCTCTTGTACACATATTAAATAAATTTGTATGACTTTTCTCCTATTAATCAATCTGCCTTATGTCAGTGATTTTTCAGCAAAGCTTTTGGGGGCAAAGGGCCTTGGTCCCTATACTAATCATTCACTGATATTTAACAAGCATTCACATAGCTTCCTACTATATATGCACACACTTACTTTTTCCTGGGCACTCAAGTATTGACCCCATCCCATAAGGGATAAATACCATTTCCCAAGCACCAGCAGTTTGCCAAGTGCCGTCAGGGGCTTTGTGCCTGTTATCTCCACCGTCCTCCGCCGCCTTAGAGAAATGCATTCTTGTCTCCCCTGTGCACATGATGAAACTAAGACCCGGAAAGGTGACGTGGCTTGCCCAAGGTCATTCAATACTGGCACTGCTGCTTCTCTTTGTCCACCGGAGTCACATGGGTACCTTTGCCCTGATACCAGGGAAGCGTGACTGAACAGGCCAGGTCCCTGAAGGAGCCACCGCTCCTCTCTGTCTGCTCAGCGGAGCTTGCCTTCTCTGCAGCTGAGTCATTCAGTAACAACTGCTAGAGAAGCCCCAGAGGCTGAGAGATAGTCTGAGGGAAACATGTGTCGCAGGAGAAGCTCTTGACTCCTGTACCCAGGATAGAATCTTCCTAGCTAATTCAAAGACAACAGGAAGCCGGAGGTGTGCCCTAATTCCAACTCTGGTTGGGCTTGGCCATCTGGACTGAACTTGTTCCTTTCCAGCTTGAGGAATGCCACCCTTCTGGACACAGCCTTGCTCCCTACTAAGAGGGCTTTCTGCAGGTGGGAAGAAGGATAAGAACCCGCAAGCTGGAGTGTTTGAGCCTCAGTACCACCTGTAAGAACTGATATAATTTCCAAATGGAAAATGACTCTGCAAGCAGCAGCAGAAGAGATGCTTCCCAGGGTATCAAGGGGCAAAGCTGTCCAGCCTTCAATCGGGTGGATTCACTGAGGCTACTTAACATGTCCTCAGCTCACACCAGAGCCAGACCTCCAAAGTACGCTGAAGTAATGCCATGGATTCTATCAAGGGCCTGTGTATTGACAACTTACTGTGTACCCAGAACAGTACTGAGCTGCATGATCCCACATAATGCTCACAGTTCAGAGAGGCAAATACTCTCATTAGCCCTACTTTATAGAAGAGAAAAAAGAGGTTTAGAAAAGTCAAGGCATTTGTTCAAGGTCTCAGCTACTAAGTGACAGAAACCAGATCTATTAGGCTGTTTTTTTAAGTTACTCTGCCCTTCCCTGATTTGCTGTATATTAAATTCATGGTTCTCAACTTCCCCCACACATTGGAATATGGCCTCAGCACAGGGATTTTTTTAAGCTCCCCAGGTAAAGCCAATGTACAACCAAGGCTGAGAAGCACTGCTTTGGATGCTAGAATGAGGACAGCCTCTCCAAAAAGCCTTCCCTAATCATCACTACTCAGTCAAGCCAATTTCTTTATTCTTGGACCCTGAAACACCAAATGTGTACTACAATCCCAAATTAAACTCAGTCAATAAAAGGTAAATAAGTGATAACCCTGTTGACATGACAATGGAGAAAAATTCACTGATTAATAAATAGTGTTGGGAGATGTGCTATTAATATGAGAAAAATATTAGACCCACGTGTCACAACATAGCCCATAATACACTGCAGAGGAAGGAATATAAACAAAAGACTCAAGCTGACTCTTACCTTCTTGATGTAAGGCATATACGTGGGGTCTTTGTTATAGGAACCATATTCATTCTCCACTTGCACAGCAATGATGGGTCCCCCATGCTTGTACTGGGGAGAAGAGATGAACAATCAGAAGCTGAGTTTCTAGTGGGAACTGGATGATCTAAATTCACCAATTACTACAAAATATCCCCTTTGAAAACAAAAGTCTCAAAAGGTTTGGTATATAATTGAGAGTAACGTCAGTAAGACAGTGCAGTAGGAAGCACCAGGTCCTCATACTCCCATGGAAACGTCAAAGAAACAACTACAGATGGACTAAAATAACTTTATAGGAGCTCTGAAAACCACTCCAAGATCTAACCAAACAGGTAAATGTCCAATCAAAAAAAAAGCCACATGCAAAATGGGGGGAAATTTTATGATGTTTTTACTTGCCCTTGCCTCACCCCTTCTCAGTGTAGCACAGGGTGGTCAGGAGGAAGTGTGCTAATTCCCAGCTCCCTCCCTCAGGATGAAAAGCACAAAATAGGACTTGATTACAATGTTCCAGCTTGTCTATGCACTGCCCAGTGGACTGGATTCTCTATCATCTGACGTGGAGTTCAGACAGGAAACATCAGCATAATTTGGATCTCAGGCTGGAAGTTACAAAAGCAGTGGCAGGTACCACAATATGTGAAAACTGCTGGGGTCTACAAACTTGTGGATGGCTGGGGGCAAGGAATTATGGGCGAAAGAATATGATAGAACATCTAAGGACTCAAAAAGCTGAGATGAGACATTTAAAAGCAGCCAGGGGGTTTAAAAAAAAGTACATATACAGGTATAGACAGGACACACGCCTATAAAAAGATCTGAGATCTTAAGTCTTCACCCTGAGCTGATCTCCAGGCTCAGGGGCCCACTAATTAGTGAAAGTTTTCCCTGCCAGTCTTCAAAGATTGAAAGAGCTGTTTTTTCTTTCTCAAATGCCCAACATTCAACAACAACAAAAAACAACACATACAAAGAAACAGGGAAATCTGACTCATTCAAATGAACAAAATAAATCTCCAAAAACAGTCTCTGAAGAAACACACAGACTTGGTAGAAAAAGACTTTATAACAACTTTTGTAAATATGCTCAAAGAGCTAAAGAAAAAAACTAACAAAGAACAAAGGAAATCATAAAAATTATATATGAACAACATAAGAATATCAACAAAGAAATAGAAATTATAAAAAAAAAGAACAAAATAGAAAATCTGGGGTAGAAAAGTATAATATCTAAATTTAAAAATTCATAGAGGAGTATAACTGCAGACTCAAACAGGCAAGAGAAAGACTAAGTGAAGTTGAGGATAGGTCATTTGCAATCATCAAGTCTGAGGAGCAAAAATAAAAAAAAAAGAAAAATGACCAGAGCCTAAGGACTGATGCAACACCATTAAGCAGACCAATATACTCATTCTGGGGATCCCAGGAGGAAAAGAGAGGAAAAAGGAAAGAGAGATTATTTGAAAGAAGAAATAATGGCTGAAAACCTCTCAAATTTGAGGAAAGACATGACTATGTGAATCTAAGAAGCTCAATAAACTCCAAGGAGGATAACCCAGAGAGCCACACAATGACACATTATAATAGAACTGTTGAAAGACAAAAACAAAGAGATTCTTGAATGCAGCAAGAGAAAAGTGACTTGTCACATACAAGGATCCTCAATAAGACTATAAAGGATATCTCAGCAGAAACTTTGCAGGCCAGAAGGCAGTGATATGATATAATCAAAATGCTGAAAGAAAAAAAAAATGTGTCAACTGAAAATTCTATATCCAGGAAAATTGTCCTTCAAAAGTGAGGAAGAAATTAAGATACTCACAGACAAAGAAAAGCTGAGGGAGTTCATTATCACTAGATCTGTGTTACAAAAAAATGTCTCAAGTTGAAATGAAAGGATGCTATACAGTAACGTGAAGCTGTATGAAAATATAAAGTTCTCTAGTAAAGGCAAATACATCAAAAATATATAAAACATTATTATAATTTTAGTTTACATCAAGACTTATATTCTACAAGATTTAAAAGACAAATGCATTAAAATAATTATCAATGTATGCTAATGGGTATGCCATATATAAAGACATAATTTGTAATATAAATATAAAGTGGAAGAGCAGAACTATAAAGGTGTAGAGTTTCTCTATGCAATTGAAGTTAAGTTGGCATCAATTTAAGATAGAATGTCACAACTTTAGAATATTGTATGTAATCCCATGGTAAACACAAAGAAAATACCTATAAAATATATGCAAAATGAAATTAAAAGGGAATCACTATAAGAAAGTGTCACTATAAAAAAAACAACTGGACACAAAGGGCATTAATAGAGGAAATGAGGGACAAAAAAGCTATAAGACATACAGAAAACAACAAAATGGCTAAAGTAAGTGTTTCTCTATGAGTAATTACTTTAAATATAAATCGATTAAACCCCCAATCAAAAGACATACACTGGCAGAATGGATAAAAAACAATATCCGACTATATGCCATCTATAAGATACTCATTTTAAATCTAAGGATATACAAAGGTTGAAAGTGAAAGAATGGGAAAAGATATTTTATGCAAACAGTAACCAAAAGAGAGCGAGGATGGCTTTACTAATATCAAACAAAATAGACTTTATACCTAAAACTGTTACAAGAGAAAAAAGAAAGACATCATATAATATACATAATGATAAAAAGGTCAATTCACCAAGAATATATAACAATTATAAACATATATGCACCAACTACCAGAGCTCCAAAGGATATGAACCAAACTGACAGAATTGTAGGGAGAAATACAAGATGGCTCAACAATAGTTGTAGTTGACTAAACATTCCACTATCAATAATGGATAGAACAACTACACAGAAAATCAATAACAAAAGGCAAATCAGAAAATGCAA